CCATTAATGAGAAGTGATCTCGCTGAAACATATGGGATTATTAAGGGGCTTGACAGAGTAAATGCTGAGAGGATATTTCCCCTCATGAGATAGTCTAGGACCAGGGGGCATAGTCTCAGAATAAAGGGGCACCAATTTAAGACTGAGATGCAGAGAAATTTCTTCTCTCAGAGGTTTGAAAGTCTTTGGAACTCCTTGCCAAAGAGAGCTGTGGGGGCAGAGTCCTGGTGTATATGTAAGGCTGAGATAGATAAAATGTTATCAGTTGGGGAAATCAAAACGCATCTTGGTGTTTATTGCAAAAGAACTGGATTCTAAAAGTAAAGAAGTGTTGCAATTATGGAAGGTGTTGGTGAGATCATACCTGGAGTATTGTGTCCAGTTTTGATCTCCTTACTTGAGGAAGAATTTGGTGGCATTGGAGGCAGTTCAGAGGAGATTCACCAGATTGATTCATGGGACAAAAGGGCTATCATAGATAAAGCAGTTGAATAGCTTGGGCTTGTACTCACTGGAGTTCAGAATAATGAAGGGGATCTCATTAAGCATATAAAATGCTGAAGGGGATTGATAAGGTGGACATTGAACAGATGGTCCCTGTTGTGGGACCGTCTAGAATAGGAGGTCATAGATATAGAATTAGAGGAGATAGGGTCAAAAATGAGACAAGGAGAAACTATTTCTCTCAGAGGATTGTGAATCTGTGGAACTCATTGCCCCATAAGGTAGTGGAGGCAGAATTAATCAACAGATTCAAGAAATAAATAGACACGTTTCTGATGAAAAGTGGGATAAAGGACAATGGGGAGCAGGGAGGAAAGTGGAGTTGAGACCAGGATAAGATCAGCCATGACCATGTTAAATGGTGGAGCATGATCAAAGGGCTGAATTGCCTACTTCCGTGCCTAATTCCATCAAGGGTTATGGAATTACTATCATCCAGGAACTCCAGATTTCATGCCATGTTTCCTTACATGGGAAAGCTTCATGACAGTATTTGGACTCTCTCTTCCTCAAGGGGAATACGTTCTTCAGTTACAAATCTGACTGTTAATCTTTCAACCAATGTATTTGTCAGATCCATTTTGTAAAAATCATTCATGGGATGTGGGCATTATTGGCTAGGGCAACATTTATTGCCATTGAGAAGGTGAGCTGCCTTCTTGAACCACTGCAGTCTATTTGGTGCAGGTATCCAGTCACTGATGTTTTGGGATGGTGTTCTGGGATTTTGATCAAGCGACAAAGAAGGAGCAGTGACATGCTAAACAGGATGGAGACTGAAATCGAAGAGGAACTTGCAGGTGGTGTTGTTCCCATGTAGTAGACACTGTGGTTATTGTGTGTCAGTGGTGGAAGGAGAAAATGTTTGTGGATATGGATTAATTAAGCAGACTGCTTTGCGAATAGTGACGTTAAGCTTCTTGACTATTTTTGAACCTGCACACATTTAGGCAAGTGGACTGCATTCCATTGCACTCCTGATGTATACTTTGCGCATGGAGGACAGGCTTTGGGGCATCAGGAGGTGAGTTACTGACTGTAGCATTCCCGACCTCTGACGTGCTTTGTTTTTTTTAAAATTTACTTGTGGGGCATGGGCATTTCTGGTTGGCCAGCATTTATTGCCTGTCCATGGTTGTCCTTGAGAAAGTGGCGGTGATCTGCCTTCTTGAACCATTGCAGTCCATGTGCTGTAGGGAGACCCATAATTCCCTTAGGGAGCGAATTCCATACTGAAACAATTGTGATATATTTCCAAGTCAGGATGGTGAGTGGCTTGATGGGATACTTATAGGTGTAGGTGGTGTTCCCATGTATCTGCTGCTCTTGTCCTTCAAGATGGAAGTGATTGTGGGGTTGGAAGGTGCTTTGTGAGGAAATTTCTGCTGCTGCTACTGAGTGTAGGAGATGGAGGCAATGGATGCTTGTGGATGTAGCATCAATCAAGCAGCCTGCAGTGTCGTGGATGTTGTCAAGCCTCTTGAGTGTTGTTGGAAATGCACTCATCCAGGCAAGTCACACTCTGGACTTGTGCCTTGTAGGAGCTGAGATATACTTGCTGCAGTATTGCTAGCCTCTGACCTGCTCTTGTAGTCACTGTTTCTACTTGGTGAGTCTGATTAAGTTTGTAGTCAATGGTAACTCCCAGGATGGTAGGTATTCAGTGATGGTAATGTCATTGAATGTCAAGTAACAGTGGTTAGATTGTCCCTTATTGGAGATGGTCATTGCCTGGCATTTGTGTGGTACAAATGTTATTTGCCTTCTGTCAGCCCAAACTTGTATATTGTCCAGGTCTTTCCGCATTTGGACATGGACTGCTTCAGTACCTCAGGAGTAATGAATGGTGCTGAACAATCGTTAGTAAACATCTCCCCTTCTAACCTCATGATGGAAGCAATATCATTGATGCAGCAGCTGTAGATGGTTGATCCTAAAATACCATTTTACCCCATTGAAATTGGCTTTCCCTCAGTTAGTTATTTTTAAATTATTTTATAGGATGTGGATATTGCTGGCTTGGCCAGCATTTATTGTCCATCCTTAATTGCCGTTAGGAAGATGGTTATGAACACTGTTCTTGAAACTGTGCAGTCCACTGGGAGGTAGGTACATTCACAGTACTGTTTGGAAGGCAGTTCTAGGCCTTGTGACCTGGTGACAGTAAAGAACAGCAATGTATTTACAAATCAGGATGATGTGTGGGTTGGAGGGGAACTTGCAGCTGTTGGTATTCCTATACATCGACTGCCTTTATCCTTCAAGGAGGTCCCAGTTTTGAAAGGTGCTGTTGAAGGAGCCTTGAGGCAGGATATCTTTTAGATGTTATGCACTGCTGCTACTATGCGTCAGTGATGGAAGGCGTGAATGTTGAAGGTGGTGGATGAGGTGCCAATCAAGTGCGCTCCTTCAACCAGTTGTTCTTTCTCAGGATTGATCCTTGCCAGTTTCCATAACCAAACTAAATTTTATGATGCAATGTCTTTTATATGTTCCCAATTGATAATTGACTGACTTGGCCTACCTCATTCTCATGAAACAGATCGAGCAGTGTTTTCTTTCTCATTTGACAGGAAAGGTATAACTGCGGAAGATTTTCCTGAACACATCCTAGGAATTGTCTGCCCTTTACACAACAAGGAGATGGTGCCCTAGAGGTAATGTCGCTGGACTAGAAACTAGTGACTCAAGCTAATGCACTGGGGTCATGGATTCAAATCCTACTAGGGAACCTGATGGAATTTAAATTCAATTATTAAATCTGGCATATAAAGTTACTTTCAATAAATGGTGATCATGACACATCATCAATTATTGTAAAAACCCAAACTTTTTGTTTTATTTTAAATCTAGCCTACATGTGACTTGAAACCTGCAGCAATAATTCTCAACTTTTCTCTACAATAGTCCAAGCAAACCAAGCAGTTCAAGGGCAGTAGTCCTAGGCAACAAATGTTTTAAGATCTTGATCAATAAAGTCAATGGGCTGAGGAATGGTAGATGGTGTTTGGTTTGAATAAATGTGAGGTATTGTATTTTAGTAAAACATACAAGGACAGGAATTAGACAGTTAATGGTTTGGCCCTGGGTAGTGGTGTAGAATGGAGCGACCTAGGGGTCCAGGTACATAATTCTTTGAAATTTGCATCACATGTTGACAGGATGGTTAAGAAGGCTTTTACATGCTTGCCTTCATTGGTCAGACCTTTGAGTATAGGAGTTGGGATGTCATGTGAGGGTGTGCAGAATGTTGGTGAGGCCTCTTCTGGAATACTGTGTGCAGTTCTGGTCACCCTGCCACAGGAAGGATATTATTAAATTGGAGAGGGTTTAGAAAAGATTTACCAAGGTGTTGCCAGGAATGGAAGGTTTGAGTTATAAGGAGAGGCTGGATAGGCTAGGACAGTTTTCACTGGAGTGTAGGAGGTTGAGGAGTGACCTTATAGAGGTTTATAACATCATGGAGGGGCATAGATAAGCTGAATAGCAAGGGTCTTTTCCCTAGGGTGGGGAAGTTCAAACCTAGGGGTCATATTTTTAAGGTGCTACAAAAAAGATTTAAAAGGGACGTGAGGAGCACACTTTTACTACAGAGAGGGTTAGTGTGTGGAATGAACTGCCAGAGGAAGTGGCAAATGCAGGTATAGTTGTAACATTTAAAAGACACTTGGATAAGTACATGAATAGGAATGGTTTGGAGGGATATGGGCCAAATGCAGGCGAGTGGGTCTAGTTTAGTTTGGGAACATGGTCAGTATGGACTAGTTGGACTGAAGGATCTGTTTTCAAGCTGTATGACTCTATAACATTAAAATCCCATAAAAGTGAACAATAAATTATCACTATCCCAGTCTAAGTTTGACTATTTAGAGACTCCCATTATAACTACTCTATAATTTTTGCACTTCTCTATAACTTGCTTGCAAATTTATCTCTCTACATCTTTCCCACTGCTTGGTGGTCTATAGATGACACCGAACCATGTAACTGCACTTTTTTTGTTTATCTATTTGGCTGGAACAAAAGAACAATTTCATTGAGGATGTCCTCTCTTTGTAGCATCGTAAATTCTCTGAAATCATATTGCCACCCTTCCCTTCTAATATATCCTTAGTACCGTGTATCCAGGAATATTAATAGACAGCCCTGCCTTTCTTTGAGCAAGGCATCCATGAACAACAAAACTAACACCCCACCGCCACCCCCCCCGACCCCAGTCCATCCCTGGCCTTCTCAATACCTTATCAGGTTGCAAATTCAGCCTGATATTTCTTAAACTAATGCAGAAAACCATAGAAACTCAACTTGTACTGATGTAATTTACATTTCTTTCTGCAATGTTTTGCACCTGTTTGGCCACTTTCCCATCTAACTGTGACAAAAATAACTAACACAACCAGTGGAAACACCCATCCATATTACCACAATTAATACTATTGAATAATATACAGAAGAAAATATTCATTCAGAGAAAATCTGTTGATTTGAAGCCTTACCTGAACTGTGGCTCATCATAATGGTTTCCTTTATCCAGACAGGTAATCAGATCTGCATAGAATAAAAATCAGTATCAATGTACATTATAAACCCAGCCTATGCTGCAGCTAAGATGACCTCTAAAAGTGAATTCACCAAGTATCAATCATCAGAATTTCCTTTTATAAATCTATAATTTATAAGACATAATTGAGGCCAGTTAATTAAGTCAACTGTGCACTTTATTCCATGGGGATTCTACTGTTACATTCACGTTGCTGATTCCATCCAGTTGTCAGTGGTTACAAAATTAATGAGTTCAACAATTTTTAAATTTTAGTTAAACATCATTTATATTCCAAAGACTGTCTACATTATTTAATTATTTTAAAACTGAAAAACAACTGGGGTAACTAAACTACACGTGACAGGTAAATTATGGGACGTCACTTTTGACTGGATTACTAGTAAATAAATTGCCAACTCTTAGCATTTACATTAGATATTATCACAGTCACAGCAATATTAGTCATTCCTATGAGTGGACCTCATTTCCCTATACTCTGGAGTGCATCTTTTGTTATGTCAGACTAGACCCCCTCAAAATATTTTAAGCAGGTAATCTAAACCCTATTTATTCTTATTTTAAAGGCAAATGTAAAGTGAAATGTGATCCAGATGCAATGCAACTGGTCAAACTACTTGATGCTAAGCAAAACACAATTTATTCAAACACTATCGTTAAAATACAACAAAAGGAAGTACGTATAAAAACTTAACTCTACTGGAAAACTTAACGGAATAATAGATACAGTAACTATTATTAAATAATTGTTCTAATTTAATAACATCCAATAAACACACCCCTTGGCAAAAAGGCAAATTCAGAGATCAAACTTTTTTTCACATGCAATGCTCACAATAGGAAGAGAAACCCCAGCTTCTAATTGTAACTGAGAGAGAGGAAAAATAGCTTCTACCTTCTTCAAAATTCCAGCAGCTCCTGCCGAATCTAAAAGCTAAAGAAATCTAAACAAATCTACTCCAAAACCTTAAAGCTAAAGAAAACCTAGAAATTCTGGTCTGAGAGAGCTGGCCACACCCACCCAGACTGCTTCTATTGTAACAATTTAAAAAAAAACCAAGGCCTCACAATCTGTTTACGTAACCACAGACTGCATGGCATCTCTTGTTAAATCTCTCTTAAAAGAAACCAAAACAAGATACATCTCTTAAAGCGACAGCATTGTCACATTTCTTCATTGTGTAACAATTTGACAGATGAGAGCATAACCTGGGGTTTGAAAGTTTTTTCTGAACTTTGAGTCACAGATGTACAGCACAGAAACACAGCCTTCGATCTAACTCGTCCATGCCGACCAGATATCCTAAATAAATCTAGTTCCATTTGCCAGCATTTGGCCCATATCCCTCTAAACCCTTCCTATCCGTGTACCCATCCAGATGCCTTTTAAATGTTGTAATTGTACCAGAATTCATCACTTCTTCTAACAGCTCATTCCATACACGCACCACCCTCTATGTGAAAACGTTGCCCCTTAGGTCCCTTTTAAATCTTTCCCCTCTCACTTAAAACCAATGCCCTCTAGTTTTGGACTCCCCCTCCCCTGGGGAAAAGACCTTGTCTATTTGTCCTATCCATGCCTCTCATGATTTTATAAACCTCGATAAGGTCACCCCTCAGCTTCCGATGCTCCAGGAATAATAGCCCAGTCTATTCAGCCTCGCCCTATAGCTCAAACACTCCAACCCTGGCAATATCCTCATAAACTTTTTCTGAACCCTTTCTGGTTTCACAACATCCTTCCTATAGCAGGGAGACCAGAAGTGCACACAGTATTCCAATAGTGGTTGAACCAATTTCCTGTACAGCTGCAACATGACCTCCCAACTCCTATATTCAATGCACTGACCAATAAAGGCAAGCATACTAAATGCCTTCTTCACTATCCTATCTACCTGCGATTCCACTTTCAAGGAACTATGAACCTGCACCTCAACGTCTCTTCGTTCAGTAACACTCTTCAGGACCTTACCACTAAGTGTATATGTCCTGCCCTGATTTTCCAAAACACAGCACCTCACATTTATCTAAATGAAACTCTATTTGCCACTCCTCGACCCATCGGCTCATCCGATCAAGATCCTGTTGTATTCTGACGTAACCTTCTTTGCTGACCACTACACGTCCAATTTTGGTGTCATCTGCAAACTTACTAACCATACCCCTTATGATTCCATCCAAGCCTTTTGTATAAATGATGAAAAGCAGTGGACCCACCACCAATCCTTGTGGCACACCGTTAGTCACAGGCCTCCAGCCTGAAGAGCAACCCTCCACCACCGCCCTCTGTCTTCTACCTTTGAGCCAGTTCTGTATCCAAATGGCTAGCTCTCCCTCTATTCTGTGTGATCTAACCTTGCTAACCAGTCTACCGTGAGGAACCTTGTCGAATGCTTTACTGAAGCCATAGAGATCACATCCACTGTTCTGCCCTCATCAATCTTCTTCGTTAGTTCTTCAAAAAACTCAACCCAAGTTCATGAGATGTGATTTTCCATGCATAAAGCCATGTTGACCATCCCTAATCAGTCCTTGCCTTTCCATATACACGTAAATCCTGTCCCTCAGAATTCCCTCCAACAACTTGCCCGCCACCGATGTCAGGCTCACCAGTCTATAGTTCCCTGGCTTTTCCTTACCATCTTTCTTAAATAGTGGCATCACATTAGCCAACCTCCAGTCTTCTGATATTTGCCTGTGTCTATCGAAGATACAAATATCTCAGCAAGGGGCCCAGCAATCACTTCCCCACCTTCCCATAAAGTTCCAGGGTACACCTGTTCAGGTCTCAGGGATTTATCCACTTTTATGCATTTTAAGACGTCCAGCACCTCCTCCTGTGTAATAAGGACATTTTTCAAGAGGTCGCCATTTATTTCCCCACATTCTCTATCTTCCATATCCTTCTCCACAGTAAACAATGCTGAAAACTACTCATTTAGTATCTCCCCCATCTTGTGCAGTCCCACACATAGGTGGCCTTGCTGATTTTAAGGGGCCCTATTCCCTCCCTAGTTACCCTTTTGTCCTTAACGTATTTGTAGAATCTCTTTGGATTCTCCCTAACCCTATTTGCTAAAGCTATTTCATGTCCCCTCTTTGCCCTTCTCAGTTCCCTCTTAAGTATACTTAGCCACTGCAATCTCATTCATATGTGCTATCACTGTTCTCTACTCTTAAGCCTGAAATGAAATACTGAAATGGTGCATAATTTTAAACAAAATTGTTGTGATTATGTACATGAACAGTTTTCAGTGAGTTAAATCTCCTCCCATACTTGCATGCCTATTCAACACTTGCTTCTTAGCTCTTTCTCTCTCTCCATAAAGATTTTCCTATGTGCCTATTCTCCCTGGAAGTCTTCTGCCCTGACATTATGGTTCAACAACTGTCAAACAGCTTATCTAATTCACTGTGAACAATGTCACAAGGTATGTACCAAAATGGAAGAAAGGAAATCAAATGTCATGTCTAGTGTTATTCAAATTGCTTATCAGATTTCACATGTTTTATCTCCTACCTTTGCATTTGTATTTTCTGAGATCGATATTTTTAAACTAAACAGAAAATGCTAGAAATACTCAGCAAGTTATAGCAACATCTGTGCAGAAAAAACATAGTTAATGAGCTAAACATTCCCATTTTTAGGCGAAGTTTTTTTTGAGGGATATTAATGGCACCCATTCCCCCATTTGCCATGGCAACATTCCTCACACAATCTTCCACTCTTCACCTCATTAATATTGCAACTGCCCTTTAAGGAGAACATCTCGTGGAATCATGTGGCAGGAGAGATGAAGTGCTCACTGCTGCTTGGAATGTGACATTCCTATTGCTGGCTCCACACATAAACTCCAGAACAAAAGTACCTCATAAGTTTCAAGCCAGGAACCGTCCTTATACTGTGGTCCAGCACTCTTATCACCGAGGAAATGGCTCAGAAAGGCAAGTTAGCAATTCAGTTCACCGAGTTAGGCGGGCCAGTGACAAAAGAAAGGTCGTACACTGAGTTCACCAATTTCAACCACAATATTTGTTTCCTTTCTTTAGTTTTCTTCCTTCATTCAGCTGCTCAAGTTATGTCTTGCCAGGGTAGATGTGGAGAGGTTGTTCTGCCCTGTGGGAGAGTCTAGGTCCAGAGGGTATAATCTCAGAATAAGGGTTCACTCATTCGAGACAGAGATGAAGAGGAATTTCTTCTCTCACAGGCTGGTGAATTTGTGGAATTCTTTACCGCAGAGGGCTGTCAAAGCTGGGTCATTCAGGATATTCAAGGCTGAGATAGATTTTTAATTGGTAAGGCAATCAAGGTTTTTGAGAAAAGGCAAGAAAGAGGAGTTGAGGATTATCAGACAGCCGTGACTTTAATGACTGACAGAGCAGGACTGATAGACCAAAAGGCCTACTTCGGGTCCTAGGTCTTTAGATTGATTTGTTTCTTGCCCCCATCACCATTCTCTTTAGCCATGGAATGCTGGATCTTATGTCCTTCAATCTCTCCTGACTTTCGCCGTATCACAGATGTTCCTTTTGGCCTGGTCCTACCCATCCCTCGCTCAAAACCTATTGCATTTCTAACTTCTACCACCTCTGACTAAAGATCACAGATTTAAAACACTGACTTTGTGTTTCTCCCCAGTTGTAACCTGCTGAGTTCTGCCATCATTTTCTATTGATATTTTTCATTTCCAGCCTCTGCAATATACTACTTCTCAACTATTTTTATGAAAATATTTTTTGTTCTTCTTCTGCTCACAATTGACATGATCGTGATGTTAGAATAAGAAGAGTTATTGATTTTCAATTCCATCATTTTTAATGCATGGCTTTAATACTTGAGACCTTTGTGCACTAAAATAGCTTTGAAACCGATACAGCAATTACCTAATGACTGGCTATGTGAGATAAACAAAGTCAAAAATCACACGACGTCAGGTTATAGTCCAACAGGTTTCTTTGAAAGCACTAGCTTTCAAACTGTTGCTTCTTCATCAGGTGTAGTGAGAGAGACATCAAGATACGGAATTTATAAGTAAAAGATCAAAAGATCACACATCTGATGCGAATGTATTGAATAAACTTAAAATGGCTGGCTGATTCCATCCTGTTAAATCTTTAATCAGTTAGACAGCAGATGCTGGTTTTGATTGATTAAAACGCACATCCCAGAATTTCTTTCACGTCACTGCCCTGAGATAACTAAAGGTTTTATCAATGTATACAAGAGGTGACATCTCAGGTCAGACAATGCATTTTAGGTTTGAGACCTTGTTTATAATCTGCCTGTGATTTAACCTGGAGTCAGACTGATTTTATTTCCAAAGCAGGAATTTAAAGTGCCCCATTGACTGACTGTGTCTACAAATTGCGTGCTTTTTGAACAAAATAGAATGTATCTGCAAATACAAATTCATCCCATAGATTTGTTTGCGTGTGTATGTGTGTGTCTGCATGTGAGACAGAGAGTCCCTGAGTGTGAGGGAGTATGTGTGTAAAAGACTGAGTGTGAGAGTGTGTGTGTGAGAGAGGGTCTGTATGAGTATGTTTGTGTGATTGAGTGTGTGTGTATGTGTGTGAGAGGGTATGGTGTGGTGGGGTCACCTGTAGTGTGACATGAACCCAAGAACACCGTTGAGGCCGTCCTTGTGGGTACCGAAGTTGGCCGTCAGCCTCTGCTCGGCGACTCTGCGTTGTTGTGTATCCCGAAGCCCGCCTTACAGGATGTTTACCCGAAGATCCAAAGCTGAATGCCCTTGACTGCTGAAGTGCTATTTTTGACCTTGTCCAACCCAGTCCAACACTGGCACCTCCACATCAGAGATACACAAAAACACTGATTTGAAATTAACATTTTATCTTAAGGCACTATAACTTAGTCAGCTGTGAAGGAACCCTAACTTCCTATGTTGATTTACACCTATATGCTAAAATTCACAGAGGAGATGGAAGACATTGCCAGCAACTATCAAGCTTGGAAACACATAACTCGGATATTGGAATACACAGTTCTGAGGAAGGGTCACCAGACCCGAATCTTTCTGTTTTTGTTCCTGATTTACAGCATCCGCAGTTCTTTCGGTTTTTATTGGAATGCACAAGCCAGCTATTTTCCAGAGTAGGGAAGATGGATTTGTGACTGCATTTAGCTTGGGAAAGAAAGTGTTCTCTTACCTTCTAAAGAAGAAAAATGTCCAGTGAAAAAGCTGGTTAAAAAGAAATATCAGGTCACTGAGAAATTAAAGGAAAACTGAAATCTTCACAGAAGTTGCTGGAAAAGTTCAGCAGGCCTGGCACCATCTGTGAAGAAAAAATCATAGTTAATGTTTCGGGTTCAGTGGCCCGTCCTCAGAGCCCTCCCCTTCTGAGGAATTGTCACCAGACCTGAAACATTAACTCTGATATTTTCCTCACAGATGCTGCCAGACCTGCTGAGCTTTTCCAGCAAGTTATGTTTTTGTTACTGATTTACAGCATCTACAGTACTTTCGGTTTTTATTCTGAATAATCATTAGTGCTGAGGATACAAAACATGAATTAACCAACCATCGTCTCAGGTTAAAATTGTACACCTCAAGGATACTCCAAGAAATTTAAATGAAAATTCCATTCATCTTCCTTTTCTACTGGAAACTATCCCTTTTAAACTTTGCACCTGTGTATATGTGTATAGTTGATGCTGTGTCTATGTTATTTTGCTCAGGGTTAACAGATAATTTTTCTCTCAAGAAACCTTGTAATTGCCTCTGTGCTGATACAGTGTACACTGGGTACGTACATTGTGGTTAGAGAAAGGTATAAGCTAAAAAGAACATAAAAATCTTTGTCCGACCCATGCAGAGAGTAAAAACAGAGTTCATGATTCGCCCCTGACCTGGTCATTTACACAGTTCAAACATGAATCTTGTTTTTGTGAGATGTCTACTCTAAAAATGAATACATTTTAGAAAATCCTTAAGTCTCAAAATAACTTCAAGGAAAAAGTATCAATGCAGAAAACTGATAAAGGCAGATTTGGAACAAATGCAAGCAAATTCTTCTACGTACAAAGTGATAAACACAGAAATAATTCAAAACTGGGTAGAAAAGACAAAAGCATTAGAATCATTTAGGCCAAGCAGCATCAGAGGAACAGGAAAGCTGACGTTTAGGATCCAGACCCGAAGTGTTAGCTTTCCTGCTCCTCTGATGCTGCTTGGCCTGCTGTGTTCATCCAGCTCTACACCTTGTTATCTCAGATTCTCCAGCATCTGCAGTTCCTACTATCTCAGAATCATTTAGGAAGCACTGACAGGCATTTTCTGACAAAGTAAAGAAACTGGTTAAGTGGCATTCTTCGTTCTAATTCTATTACGATCTCATGCAAGACAATTATCTTCAACCATACACTGAATAGTTTAACATGAGTTAAAGTAACTAATAAGTTTGGTTCAGGACATTCAACTATTTCACTTATATGTGGAAAAGACCGTTATTGATTTCAAAGAATCATAGGAATGCCTACAATGTGGAAGTAGGCCATTCAGTCCATCGAGTCCACACTGATCCTCCAAAAAGGATCCCACTCAGTCCCACTCTCCTACTCTATCCCTGTAACCCTACAATTCCCACGGCCAATCCATTAAGCCTGCACATCCCTGGACACTACAGGCAATGTAGCATGGCCAATCCACCCAATCTACGCATCTTTGGACTGTGCGAATAAACCGGAGCATCCAGAGGAAACCCACACAGACACGAGGATAATGCAAAGACTCCACACAGTTGCCCGACGGTAGAATCGAACCTGGGTTCCTGGTGCTATGATTGCTGGTATTTTTTTAAAAATCGTGTTACAGAACTAAACAAAATATCTCTTTTAAAAAATGCTGGAATCAAGGTGATCCTTGGTTTCTAATACCTTACCTGGACGGCTGCTTGTAGCATATGATAGTAAGAAGCCACGTCCTGATATGTGAGAGCCACTTTTAAACTGAATGCTCATTTCATTGCTGTCTATGTGGATTTCTCCGGAGTCTGAGTTTAGGCTTCCACAATAAGTACCTATGTATAAATAGAAAGTTATTCAATGACACTTAGATTAGCCCAAATTTACATTTTTAAAATATTATTTGAACACATAATAGACACTGCACTTCAAACAAGCACTCTAAAGTATTTTGCAGGCGTGGTAAAATGTGATAGGAATATTAGCTTCTCTTTTCTATCGGCATGTTTACTTTTTAAGCTGATTTCCACATTATGAGAAGCACAGTGTTTCTTTTAGAAAGGATTTATAACTTTAAAAGGGTACCTACCAAAGAAGATAACATGACTAGTTTTAGATTGAGCTAGCAAAAACAGGTTGCATGTTTTCCTGCACTATAAACATCCAGGATTCACAATTAGTCAAAATTGGTCCATTTTATATTACTTCCCCCAATCATAAACCAAGAATGTCCAAATGTAAACAACTTCAAACAAACAAAAAAATCTGGATTCATTAAATCTGATGTAATTAGATTTGGATTCCAGATGTTATTTCAGCATTCTGTTTTTATGTCATATTAATAAATTAATTCTAATGAAAAAAGTACTGATCACTGATGCAGCTTTTTATTGAAATTCTCAGCACTTGGGCATTAAAAAATTGTGTATAACGATATGGAATATAGTGGTAAAATATGTCATGATGATGTGTCATGTGCAATTCTGTGATATTAATCTTTAGTTTCACCACCTGGTAAAAAGCTTAGGGTTGTTTTATCCAAAAGGAAGGAAGGAAACAACTTGAGCTGCATGGACACTGTTTTAAGATGACTGCAGAAAGCACTTGACCTACAAGTCACAGCCATAGAATTCAAATTACCAAGCAGCATGCTTGGGCAGTTCACTTGCAAAATTTCATATCTGCAATTGGTTCAACTCTCTCAGGAAACACACATGAAAATAATCTAAGGACAAAAAGCTACCAGAAATCTGGACAACTGATGTTGCTGGAAAAGCTCAGCAGGTCTGGCAAGATCTGTGAAGAAAAGATCAGAGTTAACATTTCGGGTCTGGTGTTCCCTCTGTTTTTTGTGCCTGATTTATAGTATCTGCAGTTCTTTCAGTTTTTATCTGGACAATAGAAACTGCCAAGGACAAAGGTGATCTATCTACATTCATTGTACAAAGAGGGGCTGAGAACACACCCTATCTGTTTCAATAGTGTTTTAATAGCTTTGACAATGGCAGATTAAAGTACTTTTTTTTAATGTGAATTATAGATTCATAGAATCCCTACAGTGTGGAAACAGGCCCTTCGGCCCAACAAGTCCACACCGACCCTCAGAGAATCCCGCCCTGCACATCTTTGGACTGTGGGAGGAAACCGGAGCACCTGGAGGAAACCCATGCAGACATGGGGAGAATGTGCAAACTCCACACAGACAGTCACCTGAGGGTGAAATCAAACCCGGATTCCTGGCGCTGTGAGGCAGCGGTGCTAACCACTGATCCACCATGTTGCCTCAGGCCAATGAAGAACATTTTGGCTCTGAAATTAATAAACCATGTGCCGCTTAGCACGGGTGGGGATCGAACCCACGATTTCCAGTTTACAAGACCAATGCCTTCCCACTTGGCCACCATATCTTCAATATGTGGCAATAGTCAGTTATCACATGATCAAACCCATCCTTATGAAAAGCTATTTTTATAATAAAATTCAGGAAATCTGAAATAAAAACTGAAAATGCAGGAACGTAGAACAGCCTTTGGATTCAATATGTTAACTTTGTTTCTCTCTCCACAGATGCTGCCGGACCTGCTGAGTTTCTCCAGTATTTTGTGTTTTTATTAACTTTGATTAAAAGCTTGTATGTTTATTACAACAGGCAGCAAAATTCAAGATGACCTGCAGTATGGAACAGTAACATCAGCTGTTTCTCAATACATTTTTTTTTGAAGTTGGACCATATTTCTGTTACAGTTTGGAATACATCACAACAGCTAAAGAATTCTACTTGAAAGGAACTTCAAATGCCACTTTGAACAAGGTTGGATTAGAGTTTAAAAGAGACTGTTTTCAGACAAACAACAGCTTGCATGTGCCAAAACATCACTGGAATTTGTCTGACTCCATGTGTGTTGTGAGATTAAGGATAGTTTTACCTTTTAATACTCCTTATACTTTTAACTGAGGGAGCTTTTAACAACAAAAACCAAACTCTCCACTTAATAATCCATGAGACCCAGCTAGCTTATTTCTGTATATAGCTTTATATTGTCAAATTCATACCAGTTTAGGAATTTAAACAACCTTTCTTTAAAAAAAATCAAACTGTGTTTTAACCAATCTCAGGAGCGAGAGGGAGGAATTTATTCATCCCTCCAGAATTGGTCGTAACAATAAATTGAGGACAAACTTCATTTTGTAAATGTTATCAAAGGCAATATGGTATGAATGATTGTCAAATGCCAGATAATATATTACATATTGGGCAAACATATTGACAGTGTGATAACCTAACAGAGAAGATTGGAACTGGCATTTCTGTTCATTACCTTAAAACAGATGTTCAAATGATTACTCATTTGCACGCCAACCATATACACATTAAAACATAAAAGCTTTCTAAAAACAGCATGTTGCAAATTCTGACTGATGAAGTACTTTTGAAATGTAGTTACTGTGTGATTAGTGAATGCAGTAACATTTTGCTTAAATGAAGGACACACACACACACACACAGTCAAATAGTCCACATTAATGTTTTAGTTAATGGATAAATCTGGCCAAAATTCAAACAGAATTCCAATTCTTCAAATACACCAAATAGAATCTTTTGCCATCATGAGAAAGGAAAGAGGCAGCCTCGGTTTAACATCACATTTGTCAAATTGCTGAAAGTTCAATAGCTTGTTATGGTCTACCTGACCTGGAAGACTAAAATCAGCAATCATGTAAGCACTTAACTTTTTTTTTCAGATGGAACATGCTTAAGTTATAACTTTGTATGGATTCGTGGGACAACTGCAACAAAGCAGGTCATTTGACCAGTTGTGTACATACTGGAGCAACTTATCTAGTTTCACTTCGTTGTTCTTTCCTAATAGCCCTGCAAGTTATTTTCGTTTAGATAATTATCTAATTCCCTTGAAATTGCCTCTAGCAGACCCTCAGGCATAGTACTTCAGGCTCTAACCAAAAGCAAAATACTGTGAATGCTGGAAATTTGAAAATAACACAGAGAATGATGGAGAAACTCAACAGGTTTGGCAGCATCTGAGGAGAGAAAAACAGAGTCGTCCACGCAATAAAAACCAAAAAAGAATCCCCCTCGTCCTCACGTACCACCCCACCAACCTCCGGATCCAACGCATCATCCTCCGACACTTCCGCCATCTGCAATCCGACCCCACCACCAAAGACATCTTTCCCTCCCCACCCTTATCTGCTTTCCGGAGGGACAACTCTCTCCGTGACTCCCTTGTCCACACTCCCCTCCAGCTCCACCACACCCGGCACTTTTCCCTGCAACCGCAGGAAGTGCTACACCTGCCCCCATACCTCCTCCCTCACACCCATCCCAGGCCCCAAGAAGACTTTCCACATCAAGCAGATGTTCACCTGCACATCTGCCAATGTGGTATACTGCATCCGCTGTACCCGGTGTGGCTTCCTCTACATCGGGGAAACCAAGTGGAGACTCGGGGACCACTTTGCAGAACACCTACGCTCGGTTCGCAACAAACAACTGCACCTCCCAGTCGCGAACCATTTCAACTCCCCCTCCCATTCCTCAGACGACATGTCCATCCTGGGCCTCCTGCAGTGCCACAACGATGCCACCCGAAGGTTGCAGGAACAGCAACTCATATTCCGCTTGGGAACCCTGCAGCCCAATGGTATCAATGTGGATTTCACAAGTTTCAAAATCTCCCCTCCCCCCACCGCATCCCAAAACCAGTCCAACTCGTCCCTGCCTCCCTAACCTGTTCTTCCTCCCACCTATCCCCTCCTCCCACCTCAAGCCGCACCTCCATCTCCTACCGACCAACCTCATCCCGCCCCCTTGACCTGTCCGTCCTCCCTGGACTGACCTATCCCCTTCCTAACTCCCTACCTACACTCACCTTTCCTGGCTCCATCCCCGCCTCTTCGACCTGTTTGTTTCCTCTCCACCTATCCTCTCCTCTATCCCTCTTCTATCCGCCTCCCACTCTCTCCCTATTTATTTCAAAACCCCCTTCCCCTCCCCCTTTTCTGATGAAGGGTCTAGGCCCGAAACGTCAGCCTCTCTGCTCCTATGATGCTGCTTGGCCTGCTGTGTTCATCCAGCTCTGCACCTTGTTGTCTCGGATTCTCCAGCATCTGCAGTTCCTACTATCTCTGATTCAACTCTTCAAGTCCTCTTCAGAAATGCAGTTTCTCCAGCATTCTGTGTTTGTTCAAATTCTAACCACATGCTACATAAAAATACTGAATGGCGCATTGCTTCTTTTGCCAATCATTTTAAATCATTGTCCTTTATTCTCAACCATTCAATCCATGGGAACAGTTTCGCCTTGTCTGCCCCATCCAAAATCCTCATCATGTTGTATGTCTCTATTAAATGCCCTCTCAATCTTCTCTTCACCTTGAAAACAATCCTGGCTTCTTAATTCTATCCATGTAACTGAAGTTCCTGATTGCTGCAAGTATTTGGCTGATGATTTTCTGTGCTCTCTCTAATGCCTTCCAATCTGTCCTGAAGTATGGAGGCTTGAATGGGACAGTCATCTCTTGCTGAGGCCAAACTATTGCCTTATTTAGGTTCATCGTAACTCCCACACTCCTGTACTATCTGTCCCTGTTTATAAAACTTGGGGTCCCTTATTCTTGATTAACTATTCTCTCAACCTGCCTTGCAGGTTGATTCAATGATTTGTATTGATATGCTTGCAGTTCTCGCTGTTCCTACACTACATTTAGAAGTGTACCTTTTATTTATATCATCTGTCCTTTAAACCTTTAATCCTCTAAGTACTTTAGAGTGTCATTGATACTTAAATGTGCACCAGATGTTTTGGTTGAGTAT